CACACACACACACACACACACACACACGCACACACACACACACACACACAAACACACACACACACACACTCACACACACCTACTGGAGTAGCCTTATTTACAAGCATGTTGGGAACCACGGAGCTCACCTTTCAGCTGCTAACCACTTTACCACACATTCCCATCACAGAGCAAAATGCTTAATAAACAGATGCTGGATCGCAGGCTGACTGAGATCGTGCTCACACACAAACTAGTGCACACACACTTTCACACCTCATCTCCTGCTGCAGCTGTGCTGCTCCAACAACTGTTTATGATTGATTTCTATGTCTGCATCTCGGCTTTGAACACTATGATTTATTTTTCACTTGTCTTAGCCAACTGTCTCCAACTATCTGATCACAAGCCACCAGCATATGGAGCAGCTCCAGCAGCTACTTGTGCATGACACATTTTTCACTCAGATGCAAAAGCTAAGAGATAGACATGGGAGGAAGGGGGAAATGGACAGATGCTGATGACATAAACTTTTCAAATGTTTTAATCTCTTAGCAAAAAAAAATTAAAACATGTATGAAAGAATTGATGAAGAACAAAGCAGAGTGAGCAAGACATTGGCAGAGCAGTGGACATTTCTATATTTTAGGAGGTGAGATAAAACAGTTTATCTGAGGGCAAAGACAAAGATATGGCCCCTTTGTCTAGCTGTGAGAAAGAAGCCAACATCACAAAGAGACTAAGTGAGAGTGAGACAAACAGAGGAGCACTCCCTGCCCAAACAGCAGCTGCTTTAAACAAGAGGCACATTACAGTGAAACACCCGAAGCCCTCAGATAATCTCACTTCACTTCCACTGCAAGAACAACAATAAACTATTCTATGTTGATTAAAATGTTTTCCCCTATATATACATTGGCTTAATGAGTCAAGAAATCAGATTGATTCACTTATTGAACTCAAACAACTTAACACAGTAAAATGTTGAAAGCCGTGTTCCCATATGGCTGCAGAATGGTTTTACTGGTTTCCCGGTGCTGGGAAAACAGCTGAAACAGGAACAGGTGGGTGACTCTCAGGAAATACTGATTTAGAACTTTTCAAAGATTAACTTAGATGCTTGATATTATATTTTATGACAATGTAGACCATTTGTTAATTTAAACTTTTATTTGCAATTAAATACCTTTTGAAATGTTTTTATGAAGCTTGTGAAAACCTCTTTACTGCAGCAGTCTGAAAACATTTACACTAAGAGGAATAATGATTGCACTTTCTGACATTTTATGGAATTTTTAGTTACTTTCAGGTTCAAATTGTCTGTATAAGTGAATTTTCACTGCAGAAGAAAGCAGGTGTAAAACTACAGGAGTTCAGAACCAATAAAATACTATTTCTTTTCTTCAAATTCTGGTGATTCTGGTGATAGGAATGACACAAACCCAAAAAATGTGAATTTCTGTCAAACACAAAGATGATGTTGCCTTCTGTCAGTGGTCTTATACAAAAAATTAAACACAACAACGTTTCCTGCAATATGGCATGTGAAAAAATGCCATATTCTTGATTGTGGAGAATCTGCAGATTCTCCACAATCTGCAGATTGTGGAGCATTTATCCATTCTCCATGCTGAGTTCTTGATGTTCATCCTT